CACTTCTCTGTCTGTTCAATATTACCGGGACTCCTGCTGCTGGTTTGTTCTGCCGCAGACTCGAAGTTGAACTTAGTACCTCGCTTCAATCCTCCAGATCAGCATCAGCGTCTGCAAGAACATCTAGAGTAGATAATTGCAGATCATCAAGGTGCCTATACATGAGTCTTTCGAAGATTGGCAATACCTCCGCTGCACGACTCCCAACATGTTGATCCTGCTCTTTATTGTCATCAGCCTCGCCCCGGCGGGTATAAAAGTACCGCCCCGCCCGCGTTTTCGGCTGAAACGTCAGTTCGTAGTCGTCATTGCGGTGCAGTTCTTGCCTGCTCGTCACCTCCGCAGATTTCTTCAGTGGCTGCAGCTGCTGAATGCGGCGAAAAGCCCGATGCAGGGCTACAGGAGACATTGCGTTCTTAGAAGAGATGCCACGGTCGTGAGGACTTAGGGTCCTGCTTTCTTGGTCTTGCGTCGCACCATTCGTAACATTCGCAGGAGAAGATGAGCAATCTTTTTTTGCTTCCTCACCCCCTTCCGGAGGCTTTAGTGGTTGTGCTGTACCCCCGCGGCCTCCTGTGCCGCTGTACAGCGAGGCATTTCTCAGCTTGAGAATTTCCTCCTGCCCAGCGGCGAAAGCCTCCTTCGTTTCTTTCTCCTCTTGCTGGTCCCGAGCTGCCTGCAACACCTCACCCACCTGCAGCTGGCGGTCCATAAACTTCCGTACCGCCGCGCTGTTGCGCTGCGCCCACGTCTGCTTGCCGCTGTTGTTTAGTAATTCTTCGCTCTTCCTCGACAGCGGCCGGGGCGCGAAACTGCAGCTGTTTTCCTCCTGCGTTTCCTTCTCGACTCGTTTCGCCTCGCGCCAGCGGGCCCGTCGCTTCTCCCACACGGAACAGCGCTCAATCAAATTTTCGAGCTTCAGCCCCTTCTGCGATCCTCGCCCCTCCGACGCGGCGAGCACGTTGTTGCTGCGCGCCAGTCGGATGGTCTCAAACTTTTTCTCCTGCAGCAACTCCGCTTGCAATTTCCGCTCCCGGGCCTCCTGCAACATGCGGTCGCGGCGGAACCCGTCCAACTGGTGAGGGTGACGGTCATGCCGCACTTTTCCAGCGCCTTTCTGGCTCGTTCCTTCGGGGGAAGGTCCGGGAAACTGTCGAAGGCATTCACCAGGATAAACATGTCATCCACCCCGATCCCCAGCAGGATAAACGGCAGCACCTGGTGTAAGCTGACGAAGTACACGCCGCAGTACAAGCAGAATCCGTACCCGATAATGGTGGAGAGGATAACCACAAACACGCCCAAGGTGGCCAATACACCCCGGCTGCCGATGCGGACGACCTTCCACCAGTAGGCCCGGCTGAAGTCGTACAGCTTCGGATGCGGCTTGCGAGACAGCATGATCCCACAGTAAATCGACATCAGCGTGTAGCTCAAG